TTCTTTTTGTTAGCAGATTAAATTATGTTGTGTTCTCTAAAACTATTTAATGCGTTGCGTGGCTAGTTGTAAACCGTTGTAACTAAAGATGAGTGACTACGTATAATTTATCTTTTTTTTTAAATGCGAAGTATTCATCTTGTTTTTCTTAAAACTATTTGCTCTAATCCTCAACTACTTTTCGAAGCTCCAACCTTCAACTGTTATTTGACCTTAAAACTATTGCAATTTGAAAGAATAGTAGACCGTACTATACACGAATGTTAAACAATACAACTCATCTTGAATTTTATATAAATAAGATGCGTTGAAAACAAATGTAAACTAAAGCAATACGATGCTCTAGGTCAAATAAAATAGTTTGTAAAATATTGTCCAAAAATCATTCAGAAACAAATATCTCAAAAAAAAAAAAAGTTAGGTACCAAAGAAAGAAATTGGCTACAACAGAGGAGGTCTATAAGGTAGGTCAGCACGAGCATAGAGGCGAGACCATTGCTTCATCAGAGAATACTGAGAAACTGCAACTAAATTTCTTCCAGGAGGGCCAACTCCTCTAGGTGAGAGCTGGAGCTGAGTTAAGGGAAATCCTAACCCGTGGAGTGAAGAAATTACCATGCTATAAATAAACCACAAACTATAAACTATAAAGCAGCTCTACCAACTTCCTATACTCCTAGCCCAATATTTGTCAGTTCCTACTCCTCTTTCATGTAACTGACCCTGGTAACTCAAATACGACACGGATTTAAGAGAAGGAAAAAGAAAAGATTGGCATTGCAACATCCGCACAGTATCAAGCTCAGCAAACGGGGGCAATTAAATCAATCCCCATCAATCGCCGCTGCCACAATTTACCTAAATAGGTTGTCGAAAACATATAAACACACTGCCATTAGTATTGTTTGAATCAACAAGCTAACCTGGGCAATTTAGCCACAACCAGTCTCCCCCGCCAATATCAGAGTCTGTTTAACTTTCAAACTTCAAAGCCTGAAAACACTCCTCATTCTGTTGCCAAAATTTCATGGTAACTCTGTGAGCAAGGTCTCCCAGCCCACCTATTAATTAGATTGTTGCCTGTGGTGTTGTTGACGTTGATGGCCCCTCTGGTGTTGATGTTGATTTTCCCACTGCTTGCTTTTTGCCATTTTAACCGTGCCCATCAAAACCTTAATCTCGCGAAGTAGCAGTCGAGACAAGGAAAATTAATGCGAAACTCTAATAATTCGGCCATATAATGAATCAAACTCTTTGAGGACAGGATCCAAATCCCTGGAACTGGTAAACCCGCGACGCAGAAAAGTTGGGATGAGTTATGGCGGGCAAGGGGGAGAAAAGAATCCGGAATTACCGACTAATGAGCCATTATCCTTCTCAGATGTTATTTCATTCGATGCGCTGAGCCGGGACTCTCGATCTGTGCCCGTCGGCTGGGGCTGAAGCGGGGCGAACCGACAGTAGGCTTTGGAGTCATAGATTGGGCCTAAATAAATTAGGCCTGAACTTTTCATGTCCAGCCTGAATGGCCCTTCGCATATCTTATTCTAATCCAACCCAATTAGATTTTTAAATTGACCTCAATGACCCGCACATGCTTTTCTTTTTGGGCCTGGTCACCCGCCCATGTTTTGAACCGACATTTTTCCTTTTGCCCAGAGTTTATTCAACCAAATGACCAACGGTCTAAGGGCCTGTTTGGCCAACCTTCAAAACCATGATCTGGATTTCAAACTTGCCAAATAGAGAAAGAAACTGACAAACCATAGTTTTAAATCAAAACCATAGTTTGGAGTTTAAAACTATGATTTCAGAAGAAGTAAATTCATTCTGCTTCTAACTCAAATTGGAGAGTATGATTATGCTTATCAAAGTATATTTATAAACATATTTAATCTTATATCTTATAAATATATAAATACACATATTAATTATTTATTAATTATATTATCTTATGTATTATTAATTATGTTGGTAAAAAAATATTATTAATAATTTTATTTCTTCAAATTAAAATATATCATAAAATCTATCTTTTATATAATTATCATATTAACTTATGCTTTTTTTAATAATTTGTATATATAAAAAGTGCTTCTGATAACAACTATCTAAACATTTTCACTTCTCATAATCTATTCTTCCTAAAATATATTCTCCAAACTATTCTCCAAACCATGATTTGGTTTCATCCAAACACCTCCTAAGTCCACCTTTGATCGCGTCTATATATCTTGGTTATTAGTTTGAGTGCATCGGCTGAGATAATGAGATGATTCTAGTTCTGGGCTAGCAGAATTAATAAAATGTATTTATGGGGTGTTTGGATAAAATCAAACCATGGTTTGAAGAATAGTTTCTGGAGAATAGATTTTGTGAAAAAGTAATTCTGATAAAGTGAAAGTGTTTGGATAACTGTTATCAAGAGCACTTTTTATATGTGTTAATTACTAAAAAAACATAAATTAATATGATAATTACATAAAAGATAAATTTTATAATATATTTTAATTCGAAGGAATAAAATTGTTAATAATATATTTTTTGCCAACATAATTAATTACATATAAGATAATGTAATTAATAAATAATTAATATGTGTATATATATTTATAAAATATAAGATTTAATATGTTTATAAAAAAAATGATTGAGGGGTATTAAAATCATATTATCACCGAGATATACTCTAACAAGTATAATCATACTTTCCAATTTGAGCTAGAAGCAGAATGGATTTATATTTTTTGAAACGATGGTTTTAAGTCCAAAACCATAGTTTTGGCCCCAAACTATGGTTTGTTAATTTTACCCCTTGTTTGGCAACTTTTTTATCCAAATCATGATTTGGGATATTACCCAAACAGGCCTTTAAATTCGATGTGCCGACCCAAATTTCAGTTAAAAATCCAGTTCTCTTTTTCAACCATTATTTCTTCCTCGCAGAAGTGTTTAATTAATTTGAGAAAACTAAAAAACTAAATAAATTGCATAATTCTAATAAATATAACACAATCCTCCTAAAGTGTATATTTGTATTGTTAAATCATATATCATTTTATAAATTAGATAAATCAGTTTGTACAGAATTAAAATTATGAACTTGTATTTATGACAGAACCAACTCCCTGACTAAGGGGTACGGGGAGCATTTGTTTTTCCTTGGACACTTGAATTTTACTGATCCAATGAAATGTGTCGCGAGAAAATTGAAAAAAAAAAAAAAGAACTACATAAAAGGGTCGCGTTGTTATTAGCTTGTCACGCATTCCATATTTATGCTGCCACGGTGGACCCATGTTTATTGCTTGTCACGCATTCCATATTTAATAAAAAGAAGGAACAATTAGGTAAAAATTTCCATTTAAAATTTCATTAATGAGCAGGATCTGATAAATTTTGATTCACAAAAAAGCATTAATATTCCACAAATTTTATACATATGAAGGATTAGCATTCCGATTTAGAAATTTCTCACTAATAAACTTTTCAGTGAGGGAATTTTACACAACTTTTCCTCAAAAAATAAAGAGGCAAAGGTAGCCATACATCATTCAAGTGGGAAAGTAACAATACAAAAAGAAGGGGCCCGGCCAGCTTAGTGGGCACCCAACTGTACAACCACGTCCGCGTCATCCAGCACCAGATCACTTTATTATGAGCGCGGCTGGTTGGTTCTAACTTTCAATCCATATCGTCACTCCCTCCCACTCTTACATGTTCCCTTCTGCTGGGGGTTCGTCCAATTCCCAATTTCTCTTTTCCTGCTTCCTCCCTATCCCAAGTCCCACCCCGTGACCCCAAACTAGCTGCATCCTATATCTCCATCATTGTAATTTTCTCCCCCTTCCAATGCATATATGCTGTGTGCGCCGAATATCTAATCGCTAGTCATGCCTGTTTGTTCATTGTGTTCTAATTGAATGCTCATTCCAATCTGTTGGAGACTTGGACTATATATATATGAGGATGTATAGACAGAACTTTACATTAAACAGGCTCAAATTAGAAAAAAAAATATATATATGAATAAGATTGACGTATGAATTTAATGTCCTGAAGTACCAGACATATCAGTTATTTGCATATGTGCGCGACCCCAAGCTTAATTGTGATGTAAGTCTACTGGAGATGATATTTTTTTGAGGGCAGGATGAAGACTATGACACCTCTGTCCCAGAAAAGGAATACGATGACATCGATGGGATCCACGATGATATTTGTGGGGCAATATAATATTCATGCAATGCTTTTGGTGTAAATATCTGGATACTATTGAATAAGGTGTAAGCGGCATGCAGACCCAATTAGATGGTTAAAAGTGCCAGCAGAGTCCTAACGCAATTTTAAGCTCTTCACAAATGCAGCTGGTAAGGCGTTGGCAAGGCCGGGTTAAACAAATGCAGCTTCCTAATGTAACTTTGCAACTCATTGATCGCTGCGACTTGCAAAGATGCGAAACGCTGAGAAATGAAATACTGATACGGTATATCTCACTCGTCATGTTCTGGCAAATAAATCAACATAAATAAATATCATCACTTCGTGCCAGTCTAATTCTTGCGTTTGTTTTCTCCACCACTGGGAGCACTCAAAAGTTACTAATGTGGTGGTGAGCCATCAGCGACGGCTGCTTTCATGTCTCAGCGGACCACCTTGAAAGACGAATGTCGTACAGCTGAAATTTTATGATCAGATGAAATAAATTGGGAATTGCAAGTGAACCCTGAAAAGGGGAAACATTAGTACCCACACACACAGTGAATTTTCAATAGCACTTGGAAAATCTGGTTTCGCGCGAGTGTTTTGGGGTCAACACACATACGAGATCATTAAACCCGAGTTGCCTCTGCAGGATATTTCGTAGGCTGCTTCAACAAAATATTAATCGCAAGAGAAGTAAAAATAAACCCAAGAGGAAAAAGTAAGTGAATAGAATCAGCATCGCATAAGACACGCGCGCGCACATATATATATGCATATTACAAGACAGGAAGATATGTGAACAGTAAAAAAATTTTAATACAAGAAAAAGAAGAAAGAAAGGCGTTTTCTCTCTCCCGAACTAAACTATATATCTCGTCATGACAGCTATATACGGTATCGGTAAATGTTACAGGGCGTGCATGATTATGATTAAGATTTAGCATTGGTGGTGGAAGAAACAAGGCCGTCGTTACCGGCCAAAATCAAGTATTTATCTTTTCTTGTAAGCATGGTGCACTCAAATCCAAGGGCCTCCCCGATCTGCGACTGTATGTGATTAGCCACTTCAAATCTGTCACGAGCGGTGGAGGAAGGGGACACCTTATCCAGCAACCGGACGGAGTAGATAGGAGAAGGATTCATGAGGAACAGAAGAGGGTCCAAGCACTTAAGTCCTCCGGCGGTCGTACCGTGGAACATGCTGACGTGGCAATCAACAGCAACGGGAGTTATTTCGTCACTCATTTCAGAAAACAGCGGGCTGAACCGCAACAAATATGGCTCTCTACAAGTGGTCCCTTCGGGGCACACCGCTAGGTCCCCTTGTTTCAATAACTTCTTCATCATCCTGGCGTCCTCAACGCGATCCCTTGTTAATCGGACGGTCTTAATGGGTGCCAGTATCTCTGACATTCTGCTCAAGCTGTATGTCACGGCGATCAAGTCTCTTCTTAGTGCAAACGACAGGTAAAGAGGATCCAGCAATGTTCTGTGGTTGCATACATAAAGCCGATGACGATTCCCCTTGCTACATTGGCCATCGTCATCTTTGTTGCACGCACTGGGCATTGAAGTCGTCAGACGCAGACCAGTGATTGCCAGCAGAGGAGTTGATATGTGGTACGGGAGTGATAACGCAATAAGCATCCTAATAATGGCCAGGATTAACCCATAAGGGAACCAAATCAACGTTGCTACCGCATTCACTGGGGTGGGTCTCATGGCCAGTCTACCATCATGGAATATCAGTGCCTTCGGATACTTCTCTCTTGCCAGTGTTTTCCAGCTTCTCTTCTCAGCTTCCGTCACCAAATACACTTCCTGTTGGGTTTTTCCAAAACAAGGCAAAGCGGAATGTGAGTTTCTAAGATTCTAAAACGAGTAATTATGCATTACTGGCTAAAAACTGATGCACCCGATGAAGCTTGACCAGAAGTTGATCTAGCTAATTACAACGTTCGGGAAAAATAAGACTAAAATGACAGACCTTGCAATGAGTCAACAATTCGGAATCTAGAGACTTGTCAAAGCTGCAGATGCCGATGGCGTCAGGACGTCCCTTGCCTTCCCGAACTTGGTTCAAAGCATAAGACGCAGCGATTTTTCTGTCCTCCATCAACCCCACGTAGTATCCACAGAACACTTTAAGCTCTCTGCCCATCACGAAATCAATCTCCAGATACTCTCTTAAGAAACTCTCCACCATTACTTGAGGTAAATTACTGACCCCTACTTTCTTCCCACCTCGGTTTAGTATTTCGAATATTTCTGAACCAACGTTCTCCAACAGGAACTTTGGTAGAACAGCGCTTCCCGCTCTGAAGCTCTTTGCTTTGATCCCGAAGAAGCATATCATCACCATTATATTCAACCCCGTCTCGGGTCCAGCGAAGCAGACGAAAGGATACAGCAGAATGAAGATGAAGGCTCTTATAAGCCCTCCGGCTTCGAAGGCTACGAGCATGAAGTAGGGGAACAGAGAAGAAGATTTTAACAAAGCTCCTTCTACATCGAAGATTAAGGTATGGTCAGTGAGGTCTGATCTGTGAGCCAGGGAGTGATACCTTTGGTATCTAAAATGGGAAGGAAAGGCATTGGCGCCTGTAGATCTATGAAAGCCTAGCAAGTTCTTAAGCTGCCTGAGAAGGAAACGGTACCAAAAGAAGAAAAGGGATTTGAAGAAAAAAACGCTCTGAACATCTTAGCCATCGAGGTGCGTTAGTTAGACACTCTGCTTCGGCCCTCGCGCACGCAAGCATATATAGAACTACTCGTGCATCATTGCCCCTACGCTTTAGTTTTATTACGAGAATGGCATGGCTTACTGGGCAAAAGCCGGCAGACGCGGTCAAGTCTCCCTTTTTTTTTTAAAAATGTTGACCAAAGGTGAGTGTGAAGCAATGATTAAAGAACCGGACCGGACCGGACGGTCGGACCGGTTAAACCGTCACCCGAACTCGTTAACGGCTCGATTTGGACCAAAAAACCGTTCACATAGTTGAGCCGGATTGGACCGGAGTTGAGCCGTTATTAAGCCGGAAACCGGAGTTGGACCGGGAACCGGAACGATTTTCAGAAAACCGGACGGTTTTTTAGCCTGACTGAAAAATACTAAAAAATTTAAAAAAAATAGAAGAAAAATAAAAAAATTGATCCCCTTAAATATCCTAATATATTTTTAGACTATTTATAACCATATAGTATTATTTCATTGAAAATTTCATATATTGTGGTGTTAAAATTGTGAGTCGCTAGTCTTTTTATTTTAATATTTGGTCTATCTTTTAAAAAAATATTTTGATTTGAATGAATTGATAATTTGTAATATCATTAAATATTTTAAACATACATAAATTTAAATATATAAGGTTTTAGTCCAGTTTCAATGATTTCATTATAATTTTAGATTATTTAAATGCATTTCTAAATTATTTAATAATTTGATATTTTTCATATATACTAATTATATGTATATAATATTGTTTTAAATTAATTATTGCGTCACCGGTCTGACCAAACGGTCCGACCGATCCGACCGATTGAACCATGACCCGTTGATCTTTCCGGTTCGACTTCCGGTCCAGCTTTTAAAACATTGGTGTGAAGGTTCCGACGTTAATTTTGGAAAATGGAGAAGGAGATTTCATATAAATAAAAGGGCGGCAAAAAAAAAAAAAGAGGAGAGAAGGAGATTACATCAGCTCATGTTGACTTGTATAGTCATGGTAATTGGTCAATCGGCTGGCCGTAAAGACCCTTACCACGCGTCGGCCAAATGGTAGTGTACAATACTGTCCTAGAATTAGTTTAACTTTTAATTTAATTTGATTTTAAATATAAAATTTTAATTTATTTTGTCTCTCATATTTTTCTAAAATAGTTCTCGTAATAATAATAGTTCTAGTAATATACTTGATTAGTAAATATATCTTAAGAATGATAATGCTTATTTATTACAAATAACTAATTTAACTAATTTTTTTAATCTATTCGAATTAATCAACTAGTTCTTATATTAAGGACTAGAAATAGTAGCTACTGAATAGCCGATTTAAAAAAGTCATGAAATAAATTGTAGTAATATGAATTTATTTAATAATTTAAAAAACTTAAGATGGACAATTTTTAATAGTTGACCAAAAAACAATCTTTTTAATAGCCAGCGAAGCAATGAAGTTGACCGCAGTGATGAATTTATTCAAATAAATGATACTGTTTATGATTAATATTTATTGTATCATAACGTAACCAGCGGAACTTTTTTTTGTGTGCCAACTATAGAGATATTCATTGACAAAACCAAGGAAAATGGGTGTATAAAGATTAAAGAGACTATATCTACTCGTATACACACACGCACACCACTAGGGTAGGGATTGGGGGGCTTGACAACCCATCCAAAAGGGAGCAATCCCTTTCTTGGCTGGATCCATAGGTACGCTAATGCTTGTTGACTGATGTTAATATTATTGACGGATTCATCCTCCCGGGAGTATACCCAACTTCTCAATACGGTGGCTCATGAGTAATATACTCTTTCCGTTCTTAAATATAAAACTCATTTTATAATATAAATTATACTACTCTTAATCCTAATTATAAGAACTAGTTGACTAATTTGAAACGATTGAAGAAAGAAGTTAAATTAGTTATTTATAATAAATATGTGTTGTCTTTTATAAAATATCCTTACTAAAAGACTACCTTAGAAAAAAATATAAAAATATGAGAGACAAAGTGGATTAGGGTCTTATATTTAGGACCAAAACAAAAGTCAAACAAGATCTTATATTAAGGACTGGAGATAGTAGTATAAAGTGGGTCTTTTATTTAGGATCAGAGAAGTAGTATGTAAAATTTGATGTTTTAAGGATGTTATGTATGCATGGAGCTGGAGATTAACGATGGCTTTGTTGGGATGAGTGGTTGATTATGAACATGAGAAAATTAACGCACTGCTAACAATATGACGCACTTGATTAGTTTATTAATCATATTATATTGCACCGTAAGACGACGTGGGCTCAAATGAAAAGTAGCTTTACAGAAGGCGAGGAGCGGATAAGGAGCGTAAATATGACGCAGAGATATGGGACATATATATCAGATAGATAGGATTCTGGGGTTTCGAGAGTCTTCATTATGGCTCACGCCTACAGCCTACTGTCTCCACTACTGTCACCCCATGGTTCCCCCCGACCCCAAGCCCAGGCTTAGCTTGCCCCTCCAATTCGCGCCTCCTTTCATCCTCTTCCCCTTGCTACGCATTTTCCACTGCGTAACTTTGAATAGACAAGTAGACATCACACTGTCACAGAAAACCAAAGCAGGGAGAAAAATAATAAATTTTTGTCACTCTGACAAAATCCCTGGTTGTCAGCGTCAATTATAATGAAGCAGGATATGAGAGCTAACTAACTAACGTTTGTTATGTGGATATAATCCCACTCTCGAATAATTAATGAAGAAGATGGACATCCTTTTCAGTTCCCATGAGGATACAGTCCTGTTTTGCAGCGGTGAGCAATTCTGATTAAGTCACGAACGGTGTACCTGTGAACTCCCGATCACATCATAGAATCTGTAGCCAATTTGTCATCTCTGGACTCCAACCTCCCGAGACGTCCCGGGGGGGAATGTGCAAATTTGTAATATTGAATTGGACTCATGCGCATTAACTGCTGCCGTACCAGATGCAGCTGGAACAATTAGTAGTAGTATTCAAGTATTGACTCAGCTTCAAATTGGCGTCCGCATGGGCCTGGAAAATAGTACATTTTCGTATGATCAGTCTTGACCATATTTAAGCAACGCGTGTGTTTTGATGCAGCTAGAATGCTGTGGGCTCTGGATTTGAATGGTAAAGTAGAACGAGTAAAGAACTAGAAAAGTCTCCAACGTATAAAAGATCATCAAACCGAACCCTGTGGAAACAGATCGTGGTTGGATCGGTGAAAATGTGCGCCAACGCATTACGCGCAGAAAATGGAATGAAGGATTATATTTGAGCTATGAACCGACCACACAGCGTCTATGCATAGGCGCATGCACGTGCCGTGCTGAATATAGCGAGGTATGCGTGTTTTGGATAACTCAAAATGCATACGAGCGACGTAAGGCCATGCAGGTTTTGAATGCAACCATTAATTAAACATCTCCTTTGCAAGATGGGCTTCTTCTTACATTTGCGATCGAACTGCAATTTTTTTTTAAATTTTAATTTATTGCACTATAAATGCTGATGAGAAGTCTTCATCAGATGCTACCATGGCTCAATTGCAAGGTCATGGGCATAAGCTGTGCATGGACCATAGCAGGAGAAAAGGAATCATCCGGAAGGCTCTTTTTTCAAATTCAACTTGCAATGGCCAGTTCGTCATAGACCCGTACGTATACGTCCCATGCTTGATCGATCCAATGTATCTGTTCTTGCTCAATCCTGGGCGATCATAGACCCGTACGTATACGGACCACAGCAGGAGAAAAGGAATCATCCGGAAGGCTCTTTTTTCAAATTCAACTTGCAATGGCCAGTTCGTCATAGACCCGTACGTATACGTCCCATGCTTGATCGATCCAATGTATCTGTTCTTGCTCAATCCTGGGCGATCGCCCTCAATAATAGGATACATGCATTGACGATGAACCCCGTAAAATACATCAAACCATTTACAAGATAGTTAACCTTACCCGACAGGGCATATATAACCTTAGCTACTTGTGGGAGCAAATTGCTATATATTTTCTTTGCTCATTTCCTGTTTGTTTTTTTTTTTTTCTCAGAAAAGTTTTGAAGCTGTGCCAATATTGTACCGGTTTAACCTAACATCTCAAAAGATTTGATTTGCTAATTTATGAAATGAACCATTTGCATATATCAGCTCATAGTATGGGCTTCTTTATCGAATATATTTCAATTTTTGGCCCAAAAAAATAGAAAAAAGAATATAGTTCAATTATTCAATGGCGAGAATTCAAACAATCTTCAGTTCAAACGATTAATCTCCTACTGCTCTCGGGGAACCTATCCTCTCAATAGCTTTGCTGGCGCCACCAATTCAGCATATAAAATAGGGAAGACGAAAAAGTTTTAACTCCTCACCAGCATACTGGCCATCATATATAATCTACTTAATTAACAATCGAAGAATTTGGATATTTAGCATCATATTCAAGAAGCGATACTATACATGTGAACACACTGGAGAGAAGAAAACGAAAGGTGTAACCTAAAAATTTGGATTCTCTTCAGTTCCGTGCCTTGAAAGATTTGGATCAGCAATACCTCCCCCAGCTGGATTGATGGGTAGCCTAGGTGGTAAAGTCAATGCATTAACATTCAGTTAATAAGATGGCAATCTATTAATCCTGTCTCACGAAGTCAGTATTGGTACCAGCTTAACAAATAGACAAATGCCAGAGAGACTCTAGTTAAACTATAAACCAGCGACCTTTCATCAGTTCTCGAACTCAAAATCCATCAAAGGATTGGCCTTAGTGGCAATCGTAGAAAGTTGGTGCTAGCAATTGTAATAAGACTTAACATCGTGCCGAAATGATTGACCCACAGGAAATAAACATACTTCCGTCTTAGCTAACCATAACCAAATATCCATTTAGAAAATAATGATATAAAGCTTGAAGTTTACCAATATTTGCGCTTCAAAGTGATGAAAGTTGCGCTCGCAACATGATTATTGCAAAGCTAA